ACCTATACTTAGTTCCAGCTGCTGATGAAGGCATGACCGATCATGCGGGACTTGCTCCAGTACCAATCGATGCCCGACCATTTCGGCTGAACATTCAGACAATACACATTACTGCGACCCTGGGCGGCTTTCTGGACCGCAGGACCATGCGGCAAGCAGCTGATACAGTCGTGGAAGTTGCTTTTCTACTATTACGGTCAGGGTTGCCACCCAACCTCCGCATCTGGACCACCATAGCAGCTGGGACCAGTTCAACGTTGCAGAGACTCCAACCAAGCACGCTCCTAGCGGATGTAGCCAGAATGATGGCTCCCGCCATAAGGTTTAATCTCCTCGTGCAGGATCGGCCCACTGCGGCCATTCGCAGCCCCGACAGAGAGTTAAGTGCGCCGGAAGTCGTCCTCCTGTAATAAAAAGTGAAATGACTGGTGATTTTTAGAGTTGCCGTATCAGTGGAACTCGCACGATTTACGGGCCACTCATTACCTTCGCTTGCCATTATGTGCTCAAGAATGGCTACCTCACAACACAATTCCCACAAATACTACCCAGTATACATCCTTGGAGTTTACTTGATGTTTTCAAGCAATTAACGCTAGACATAGAGTCATAGCCAGACAGCGCACACTGACTTGCCATGGTGATGAAATGAAGCACTTAGATGTATTGGATGGAGTTATCGGCGCAAGATCGCCCGAAGCAAGACCTCCGTCTGGAGTTATAGGAGACAACATCGAACTGCTAATTTTACACCTACGAATGCCTGATGCTGCGACTTGGATTGCACACACTGCTACACATGCAGTAATCAGACTTGAAGAACAACAAATTCAAGACTACCTCCTCATATCCAATGGACTCATGCACAGGACCCCCTGCTTTTTCTCAATCAAAGAAGAGACGGTAGGGTGCCTTGATGGTTTGCTGCTTGAACAGCTTTCCCGTGAAGGAATAGGCCTCACAGATTCATCTACGGTGTACATAGCCTTAGCTCATGTACAGCACAGTTATACCGAACTTACTCACTGTTTAACAAGTTTCTGATGAATCAACCGGCTCGAAGCAGGGGCTTGCCTATTGTACTCAAGGGTGATATTGCAGTGAGAGAAAATTCTGATAGAAATGAAGTGATAAGTCATGTCACGACAGAGAGCATGATAAGCAGCGGTACTCATGAGTACACTTGCCCACCTTGTTCAAGTTCTGCAGATTGAGATCTGTCAGCAATATTGTCTACCCTGCCGCACTTCTGTGGCTCAAACCACCTTCCCATTTGCAGGGTTCCCACTCCTCTGACTAAAGACGTGTCAGGGGAGTACCCTCTCTCTATTCTACTTTCCCTCTCTTTGCCTTCTTCATCGTTCCCCTCCCTTTGGCTGTCTCCTTTTCTGCTACCCCATCTGCATCGTCACTGTCTGTACTTCAAGTGTGCTCCCTGGTCCGTCCCTGTCCGTCATTTGTGACTGATTCCTCTTTCTCCCTTCCTGCTCTCTGTCTCTACTTCTCCCATACCCTTGTGCACTCCGGTGGGCAGTCATGGCGCACTGGATTGGTGATAAGGTCACCCTGAAGGCAGGCCCACTGACTGGGCCTGACCAAGAAGGCCCAGCTGGAGGCAATAACGATACTGAGGCTCACAGTGAATCCCAGCGACCTGGGTACAAAGAGTCCTACATTACGGAATACGATGGCATCCAGGTCTATCGGCAGCAGGGCTTTTATGAGCACGCCAAGCAGCTCCATGCGTGGTCTTTCTATGAATATAGAATGTGCATCAATGGAGAATGCTGGAATATTATCCTCAATGACGACATGAAGAGCCCGCCGGACTGGGCCTATCCAGGGTCCAGCTCCGCCAAATTGTCGCATGATTTCTGTCACGTAGATACTGAGGCCAGTGATGACGACTATACCAACTTTTGGTTTGTGGAAATGGGAGGCCGACAGATATGGCCCTTCTATGCCACAGATTCCTTTCAGGAAGATCTATGGATTTGGGTTAGCCCCAGAAGATTTGCAGTCATCACGAACCACCAACACAATGAGAAATTGAATCATTTCTATGTCGACAGGATGCATGAACATAATATCCTGGCAAATCGCACACCGTGCTGGCCCTTCACTGAACTGACCAATAGCTCAGGCAAGGTGACGGACAAAACCATCGTCCTGAACAGAGAATCCCGCTGCAGTTCAGCAGTTCACGAAACTTTCAAGACTGGCTTTGAACACAAGAGTGCCATGAAGCCTATGCCGCGTAGAGAAGAGAACCTGCATGGCAAGAGAAAGTACTCGGACCCCTCGGGACAAACGAGTACCCAACAGTTTGACCCGACCGGGAACTACAGTGCCCGTGATCTGCAGAAACTCAATGCGACCTTTGCCGATCAGTCTGAGACTAAATCAGCCGCAACAGTGCCAACCCATACAACCAGCAAAGTCACGATGTGGCGACATGGTGAAGTACCGCCACTAGGACCTGCAGCGGAGGGCCGGGCCCGGGCTGCTAAACAGCTGGCGTATGCACGCACTCTATTAAATGCTGTCATGGAAGCAGCCACCCAAATGGAAGAAGTAGTGAGCAATTTAGTGCAAATCGAGCAAGAACAAGCAACGGCTAAAGAGGAAGATTTGGGGCAAGCTGCTTCAGCTGCTCCAACCGAATCTTGCACAGAGCCAGCTACAGAGGGAAGTCAGAACTGAGTGCACATTAGATTGACATCTGCATGCTGTATAAAGTCCGAAGGAACCACAGCGAAGACTGTGGCCTTATTCTCACCCTGAGGATGCAGGACGTGAAAAGAAGGTAATTGCACTAGATGGTACGCCTACTGATGGATCAGTAAAAGTCAATTAGAATACAATATATAAGAATGCATGGGTAGGGGGATGGGGTCCCCAATACCATGTGCATAACAGGGGGAGGTGGACCCGAGAGGGTCCGGGGGGACGTTAAGCACTTATATAGCGCAGGGGAGTTGCTGAAGGCCCCCGTCCCTAACGAACCGTGAATTAACACGGTACCTTGGTACCCCCTAGTCGGCGTGTGTTGACATGTTGGGTTGCTCCTCATGTCACACCCTCGTTTGTGTTTGCGCACATCCTTGGGTGATCGTGCGGTATCTCGGGGTTCTCCCGGACCGATCGGTGCACACGTGGTACGGGACCGACGGGTCTCACCTTACCTTGTGTCTAGGGTAGCAACACCCTATGATGACACGGGGGAACAGGCAAGGTCGGTGAACCTCTTAGAGACTTGGGGACTTGTCTCGAGGAGGGGTCAACGGGGCAACCCGTTGGCTAACGGTCAATATTCATCGTTGGGTAGCTAAGCTCGCGGTGGACAAGACCGTCGGTTCCTCCCTAACAGTGTTAGGGTCCTGTCGCAAGACAGGTGTATCCCCCTGGGATACATGGGATCGCTAACGACTGGGTCACCGACCGGTTCACTCTCAACCTTCGGGGAGAGTGGGCTCAATGTACAGTCTGGCCACAGTGAGGACCTTGTTTTCGGCTCTAAGGTCCGAGCTGTGCTCCATAGGGACTGGGGTCACTGAAAAGGTGACTAAGACTTTCCACTCCTTTCTTGGATCGTCTTCTCCGGTAGCCGCTGGAGTCCGGGAACCTATGGGGGCATCATGAGTTGGTCTCTCTTGGATTGAGTGGTGATCATCTTGGGTGAAATGAATGGGTTCCGTCTCCACGTCCACTCGGGGTGTACGGTTTACGCTGTACATTCTTGGTGGAAATGAATGGGTTCGGTTCCCACGTCACTCGGTGAGTGGATCCACTCTCCTTGGTTTGACCTGGGACTCGTGGTGTGGAAAGGGTACCGCCCCAGGGTGCGCCTGGTGCTTGCGGGGGGCCATGCTTCTGCGTGGTTTTCGCCTTTTTGGCGTGGCCCTGCACCGGGAGCCCAAAGGTACCAAGCGGATTAAACATTGTCTTGCGATATGTTATCCTTTGCACACATGCAGGATGTGTCTTTGTGAGCATGTTGCCATTTGTCACGCTGCTCGGTGGAGTGCCTGCAATATTTTTGGCTCAAACAGTTTGCGGTCAACTTGTTGATAGCTCCTTATTTCTGGTGTTGGTGAGAGAACTTGTTCTCGTGCTGCTGGTTGCTCCTCCTTGTTGCTGTCTCCTCTATGCTGGCTGATGGATCACTCGAAGTAAACAAGTCAACCTTGGAACCTCGAACACTCAGTGCAAACGTTTTCAACAGTGTACAGTTCAACATTCATTTGCAGTCTTGCTTTACAATGCAGTTCAACTTGGTGAAGATCATGTTGGAACATCCAATGCTTGGCAACATTGGCTCCAAGGGACGGGTGGCGGGTAGCCTCTTACTTTTTTGGTAGAGGTTGCATGTCAACTTGTTTGGTTGCATGTGTTTCTTTTCTTGTCTTGTTTTGTGTATGTCAGCAGGATTTCAGTTAATTTGTTCACATTTTCTTTTTACTCACTCAGATCTCCGCGGCGCTGCGCGCGTCTGCATGGGTGCAAGGGAGCGGGGCCGCGTTGCTGCCAACAGCCCTTTAGCGCTCCGACCGGTGCCTGTGAGCTCAGCTACAGTGCGAGCTCGAGACTGCAGTTTTTTCTGGAGTGGGTTTATTTTTGCATTGAGTTTGATTTCGTGGATCCTGTTTGGCATTGTGTATGTGGATCAGCCTGGAACGGTTTGCAACGTGTAATCCTCAGGAACATTTCCTTATCCATTTTCCTGGCTGGTTTGAAATTCAGACTTTGATTTTGGCTCATTTGACTCCAGCGGAATCGCATCTCTACTTGAGGACTTGCATATTTTTGATTGGAGACAAAGGACTTGACTTTGACAGCCACTGCAGTGCGGATTCATTACGCAGGGTCAGGTTTTTCTGTACCAACCCCACCTGTGCAGCCTGCGCTGCAATTAGCCGGTCAAGAAGGGGGAGTTTGGGACCAAGAGTTTTCGTCTGATTTTGCGTCCAGTGGCAGTGCAGAGAGTGAAACCATCAGTCATGCCGTGGAGAGCCAACACTCTGACTAAATTTGCTGTAGGGAAATCTGACGATGCTACCAGTGACTCTGACCGGGGTTTGGAACATGTTGGCCTGGATCCCAGTGCTGTGAAGCCTGGTCAGTTGCACGGAGCTGGAGCCTCAGAGGATATCCTTTTTGGAGTTTTTGCGGAAGACGTGCATGAGACAGAGTGCAATGAGTTTCAATGGGAGGAGCCTGACCTTGTTAAGGGTCGATGCTCGCCGAGACAAGGAGCTTTGGACCTCAAGGCAAAATTGGCGCCGAGGGGTCCCACACTCAATGAGGCAAGTTTTGAACAGCACTTGTCTCATGCATTTCTCAGCACTAGAGGACAGGTTAAGGTTGTCATGCCATGGGAAAAAGGAGTCTTCAAAAAGATCTTCAAGAAACAACCGGAAGATCAGTTGCAGAACCTTTTCAAGCAGCCTCGTCATTGGGTGGGGCTGGATGCAGTGCCTGAAGTGGAAACGAGTGAAGAGCTGTCGTCGGCTACTGGCAGTCGGCACCAACTGGTCGGGGCCCTTTATGAGCATGCATTGTCATCAGTTTCTGACCAGTCCTTCTTGCAACAGCGTCAAAGCATTTTGGAAACTGCGGTAGAGAAATGGTTCTGCATCATCAGAGTCAACATGCTTGCCTCTTCAATTGGGCATGACATCATTGGTTTGGGCAACATGGAGGAGCAGAGAAAAGGTGCATTTCAAATCATAGAAGCGGTGATAGGTGTCAGATCCAGAACCACTGCAATCACAAGGGCCAACGCCTTGCTCAAGTTCTTGCGGTGGAGAGCTGACAACTCAGACAGTGATGGAAAAGATTTTTCAGAAACAGAGGCATGGACCTATTTGATTCATCTGAGAGAGAGCAGCGCTGCGCCCACAAGGGCTACAAGTTTTCTGTCGGCCTGTGCCTATGCGTTGCATGTGTTCGGATTCTTGGGACTGGAAGCCATCTGCTCTAGCAGGAGGCTCAAAGGTTTGGCGGAGTTGATGCATTCTGCAAAAGCCCCTCTGAAACAGGCCCTGGTTTTGACAGTTGGCCAAGTGATGTTTCTTCATGGCAAGCTGGCTGAACCATCATGCAACCATGTGGATAGAGCAATAGTGGCATACTTGTTGATTGCCCTTTATGGCCGCTGTCGCCATAGTGATCTGCAGAATGTCGAGGAGGTTATTCTTGACTTTGGCCCTGAGGGTGGGTTCATGGAAATAACAACCAAAACCCACAAGACAGCACGAACGGTGGCGCAGAAAACCAAGTTGCTGCCCGTAGTGATCCCGGCGGTTGGCATCAATGGCAGCGAATGGATTTCAGAGGCAAAAAGTGCCCTGGAAGAGTATGGCCTGAAGTTGGAAGGCCGTTGTTCAGACCCCCAGGGTCATCGGGTGAGCCTCATTGCAAGAGAGGAATCACCTCGGCAGAGGTCACCCGCTTCCTGCGCCTCATGCTTGAGGATGAGGCATCGATCCAGAAGGATACAAGGGTGTCATCTCACTCGCTGAAAGCCACGGTCTTGTCGTGGTGTTCCAAGGCTTGCATGGAAGCTTCAGACAGAGCTGTCTTAGGAAGACACGCAAGCGCTTATGGAGAGTCGAGTGCAGTCTACGCTCGAGACCTTGCTATTGGTGCTGTGTCCAGGTTGCAGGAGGTGCTGAAGAAGATCCATGGAGGAGAGTTTTGCCCTGATGCAGCCAGGTCAGGGTATTTCCCGTTGCAGGCCCAGACATGTGAGGTCGAATTGCCGCTTGAGAGAGATGTGGTCAAAGTTGAAGATGAACAGACTGAGGAGGAGCAGGCAACTGCAGCTCCCGACAAGGAACAAGTGCCTGATGAAGAACAATTTGATGGTTCTTCTGACAGCTCGGAGTCAATGGAAGGCTCGGATTCAGGAGATGAGGTGGTGGAGCCCAACCCCAAGTGTTTCAGACACTTTGCTGTTGGTCCTCTCTCAGGCAGATTTGTGATGCACGATGTTTCGAAGCTGGTCCATTATGCAGACCCAAGTTTTGTGGACGGTCGAGGGGCCAGGATGATTTCATGTGGCAGATCGTTGAACCAGAACTATAAATACATCACTCAATTTGACTCAGTCGATGTATGCAAGAGATGCAAAAGCAACGCTGTCAAAGACGGCGCACTACCGAAAGCACTTGCGTAGGGAGAAAAGGTCGCACGGCAGGGTCTGGTGGTACTAGCTGCATGGCAGTTAGGAACATGTTGTGACCTTGTCCAGATGTGCAAGGCAAGTGCTTGGAGGAATCTTTAATTTCTTTTGGAACTTGGGTTGCGTGGCACCCTGTCAATGGCATGCTTTGGAGCGTGGCTCATAAGCACTGCGTGGGAAATCATGAAAGCACGGCCTTTGGATTGTTTTAACCTCATGTGATGCATGATCATAATAGTTGAGTTACAGTGCCAATACAGAACTGTCCAATTCAACGAACTGGAAGGCAGGCAACAAGGCAGGAAGTCTATCAGGTCATTTCACAGCATGCTGTTGCATCATTTTGGAAAAAGCAGTTTTTTCTAGGAGGGATTGTAGTCGCGTCGACGCATTGGCAATGGCAAGTTTACTGGATTCAGAAGCTCAGTTTGTCCAACGCACCATTGATTTGAGGCTGTCAGATGAACTGAAGAGAAGCTTGAGTAGAGCTGGTTTGCAAACATTTGGAACGTTTGCCTATGCACATGGGCAGCCTGGACAGAACATTGCGGATGAAAGCTTTGAAGCATGGGTTACAAATCAACTGATGACGGGAGCCACAATAGCAGATATTGCGGGTGCCAAACGTCTCCTATTTGAGAGTCAAACCATGGTCTTAGCATCCTTACAGGATCAGGTCAATGCTACTGACCCCTCCTCCATCAAGAAGGTGCCTGTGGCTGAGCGTGAAACCAAGATGCGAGCGATCAAGAACAGGCTAACCGGCCTCCTTATAGAAGGGCCACTTGAACCAGGTCATGCACTCCTTGACACTACGGCAAGTATGATGCAACTCAATGAAATCAAATACATTCCTCCTGAAAAATGCATATCGAGGACCCATGAAGTTTTGAATCAAAAGTCGGCAACAAAACAGTTGGATATCTCAGCAGAGAGTTTGATTGTGAAGGAAAAGCAGGATACCCCCGATATGACAGTCACTTCAGCACTTCAAGTGCAAGAAGCTTTTCAGCGTCGCGGCATAGCGCTGGTGTTCGCCGACCTCATCACCCATGAGAGCTACACCAGGTACCTTACCACTCTTTTTGGACATTTGCATAGGGACCCACCTGCGGGATATGCCAGGACCAATGTGAGCCAGCTTGTGAATGCTGACAAATCTGTATGGCAGATGTTACTGGAGGAGGGTGTGCGGCCCAAAAGGGACGAGACGGGGGTGCTTGCTTTGGATTCAAAGCTGTTGGAGAGTCTCCAGAGCTATCGTGTGTCCTTTTCCTTGCTGCCGATGATTGCCAAGAAAGACAGCACTCCGAGCCCATCCAAAACAGCCAAACCTTCTGTGAGCCATGGTGGAAAGGGTGCAAACTTGTCCGTGCAAAAACCCTGGATCAAGTCGAAAGGTGGCAAAAAAGGTGGCAAGGGAAAAGTTCGAGTGCCAAACCACATTTTCAAATTGGGTGGCACTGCGTCAAACCCAGCTGGAGAAGCGATTTGTTTTGGGTTCAATAGCAGTTCAGGATGTTCAGAAGCAGCTGATGGAGCAAAATGCAGACGTGGCCTCCACATCTGTGCAAAGTGCTATGGAATGCATGGAATCCAAAAGCACGAGTCCACTTGACTCAATGAGCAGCAGGCCGACGGTGAAATCCTTGCAAGTAATCCATCGAACCGATGTGTCAAGGGCCCAGACGTTTTTTCCAGTAACAATTTTTCAGTGTCAGTTGCTTCCAGTGATTCATGCAGAAAGCGTGTTGAAGATGGCAACTTAATTCAGCAGAAAACCAATCACACTTTAGCGATGACTGTTAGTGATGTTGGTGCCAGTTTTGATCACATTTGTGCAAGCCCAGCCAGCAGCAATGATTCAGCCTGCATAGCCGAAACCCGAGCGCATCGAGAAGGGCCTTCAGTTGGGAACCCAGCAGACTTGGATGGTGTAGTAAACCAAAACCTGTGTTCCAATGTCGATTCAATGCAAACTTCAGTTGCAGATGGCTTTGCATTTAACGAGGAGCAGTTGACATGTCCAGTTGTCATTGAAATTTTTTGTGGCAGTGCCAGACTTACAGCCAGCCTCAAAGAGGTTGGGATAAAGGACGCATTTGGCGTAGATCACAAGCTTGACAAAGCTGTTGCAACGGCGAAACGTTTGGACCTTACTGTAGAGTCAGAGCAGCGAGTTCTTTTGCAGTGGTTGGAATCACCGTTGGTTGTTGGAATCTTTCTGGCGCCTCCTTGCGGCACCTGTTCACTGGCTAGAAACATCAAGTTGCGCGATGCTACAGGGAAAATCATACCCGGCCCCAAGCCTCTGAGATCAGCTGAATGGCCGGAGGGTTTACCGGGTTTGGGGCCACGTGACAGAGAGAGAGTGTCAGCTGCAAACAAACTTTATGACTTTTTGGCGACACTGGTGGATTTAGCACATGAAAAAGGTTTGTTGGTTGTGGTGGAAAACCCTAGATCTTCTCTCTTTTGGCTTACGAGATTTTGGAAGAAAATCAAGGCGCCCTTACAATATTCGGCGCATCAGGCATGCGCTTACGGTGGAGAGAGACCCAAGTGGACGGTTTTGGCTTGGAATCATCCAGCTTTCTCCTCTATTTCCCTTTGCTGTCCAGGTGAATCAGATGTGCACAGCCACAAACCTTGGGGCCTGGTACAATCAGAGTCAGGTTTTCATTTTTCTACAAGTGAAGAGACGGCGTACCCCAGAGGACTTGCTCATGCCATTGCGAGAGTGTTTGCATCCCTTTTGTCAGTGCATGGGTGGAAACCTCCTCTTGAACAAATGCAAGAACAGCCGGATGTGTCCTTGCGCTCCATGAAAGCCATTGCAACCGCGCAGCCAAAGGCATCAAAAATGCCGCCAATAGTCAGAGAGCACAAAAGCGTGGTCTTGATCACAGGGCCTTTCACTGCACTTGCAACAGCACCAGTAGAACGCATGCAGAGGTTGAAACAAAGCTGGACTATTCCACCATCCTGTCAAGCAAATGTAGATCACTTACCTCCTGGTGCCCAGCTGTTGCGTACCACGCCATTGCGGTCAAATGGGGGTTTGTTACAGACCAAGCAGCCAGGAGTTGGTGTCTTCGAGCAAGCGTGGGGCATTCCATTTAGTCCAGATGAATTTATACAGGAAGCATTGGAGCGAGGGCATCCCAAATCTTTTTCCAGGCTGGTACCCCGAGTGTTACAAACTGCCATTGAAAACAACTTTGGCAAAGACGGATTGCACTCCTTACCTTTAAGTAGGATCCAATGGTTTGCAAAATGGACCGAAAGAGCCAAACAACTTCAGCAGCGAGATATGGAGATCAAGAATGCACTTCCAGACCATGCAGCCAAGATTCTGGAAGCAAAACGTTTGGCCTTGTTCAAGGAAATTTTGGAAGACCTTGAGTATCCCGATTTGGGTGCGTTTGACGAGCTGGTTGACGGAACTGACCTTGTGGGTGAAGTGAAGCCTTTTGGAATTTTTGAAAAATCATTCAAGCCGGCGGAGAGAACAGTTCAGCAGTTGAGAGAAGCAAGCAAATCAGAACGAATGCTCAATTTCTTCAAGTGCTCTTCATCAGGGGACAAGGAAATCGATGACATTGTTTACAGAAAAACGTTGGAGGAAGTTGAGTTCGGTTGGGCCACAGGGCCTTTGCGGTTGGAAGATTTGCCTGCAGACGCTGTGATCAGCAGAAGATTCGGCCTTCGACAGCCCGGCAAGATCAGACTCATAGATGATCTCAGTGCTAGCGGAATTAACCAAACGGTGCAAACAGCGGAATCACCCAAACCACATTCTGCAGATTTCATTGCAGCCATGCTTTTGGCAGTGCTAAAAGTTAGCAAGGGTTCAAAGCTGATGGGAAGGTCTTTTGATTTAAAAAGCGCTTATAAGCAACTCGCTATCTCACCAAACTCTTTGTCATTTGCGTTTGTAGCAGTCTACAACCCTGACAAAGCCAGAGCAGAGGTGTATCAATTGCTTGCAGCACCCTTCGGTGCAACCAGACGTGTGTATTCATTTTTAAGACTGTCGAATGCAGTTTGGTACATTGGTGTCAAAGCCCTCAACCTCGTATGGAGTTGTTTCTTCGACGACTATGTGATCTTCAGCCGTGACGAGCATGTGAACAATGCGGAGCAGTCCGTGTCTCTTTTGTTTAAACTGCTTGGGTGGAAATTTGCTGAAGAAGGGGACAAGGCGGATACCTTTTGTAGAGAATTTGGAGCGCTTGGCATTCGCATCATTTTGGATGAAGCAGACAAAGGACTGGTCAAATAAATTTACAAACACTGAGAAAAGAGCCACAGAGTTGATCGGCACAATAAACACCTTTTTGAGCAAGGGCAGCATGACAGTTCTGGAGGCGCAGAAGCTCAGGGGACGCATGCAATTCATGGATGGTCAGTTGTTTGGACGTTTGGGAAAATTATGTATGAGAGAAGTCACCAATCATGCGTGTGATCCAAAAACTTCGAAACTGAGTACGAGGACGTACGATGCATTGAAACGGTTCATCATCTTCTTGGAGCATGCAGAGCCACGACGCTTACATCTGAGCACTGACGATGTTTGGCATATCTATACAGATGCGTGTTATGAACCAACTTCATGCGACTGGAAATGCGGTCTGGGAGGTGTCCTAGTAGGACCCAATGGAAAACAAGTCGCTTACTTTTCAGTGTCATTGAGCGATGAACAGATGGAGCTTTTAGGATCTGAATCAAAGAAGACAATAATTTTCGAAGCGGAGCTTTTGGCATTGGTGCTCGCTTTTTCAGTTTGGCGCGAGTACATTGCAGCTTTTTCTTTGATCTGTTTTGTGGATAATAACTCGGCGAGAGATGTCGCCATTTCTGGAAATGGTAGAAACATCACTGCAAATTGTTTGATCGAATTTTTGCTGAAACTGGAAATGTCAAGTTGCACAACACCCTGGTATGCAAGGATTCCTACGCCTTCAAACATTGCTGACGAACCCTCTAGAGGGGAAATACAGAGATTCGTAAAATTCAAAGTGCCTGGTACGTCTGTCCAAGACGGTTTGCACGAAATCATGTTAGCACTGGCAGAGAACACGGTTATGAGGGGATCCTTACACTGAATTGCAGATACAAATCGGAAGCACCACTTGAAAGTTTTTCTTGCCAGCGATTTATTTGATTGCTGGATCCGGTGGCGACAACTTTGGAGCGACAGGTCGACGTTTCATACTTGCACAGCCCGTTGTCACTGGTGTAAGAAAAGGAGCGAGTGAGATCAGGAGTTTTGTTCATTTTTCCACAGTTGCATGTCATTTGAGTTGCAAGAATTTTCATTTGATGCATCAAACGATGCAAGGGTTCTTTGTGTTTTTCTACAAGGGTTCGTGGTGTTCATCAGCCTTAACTCTTTGGGGTTCGTTTGCGTTGGGTAACTAGCAGCCACCAATACCAGAAATAAGTTTGCGGTCAACTTGTTGATAGCTCCTTATTTCTGGTGTTGGTGAGAGAACTTGTTCTCGTGCTGCTGGTTGCTCCTCCTTGTTGCTGTCTCCTCTATGCTGGCTGATGGATCACTCGAAGTAAACAAGTCAACCTTGGAACCTCGGACACTCAGTGCAAACGTTTTCAACAGTGTACAGTTCAACATTCACTTGCAGTCTTGCTTTACAATGCAGTTCAACTTGGTGAAGATCATGTTGGAACATCCAATGCTTGGCAACATTGGCTCCAAGGGACGGGTGGCGGGTAGCCTCTTACTTTTTTGGTAGAGGTTGCCCCACCCAACCCTCCCTTTGGTGCACCACTCATCCTTCGACTGAGTGGGCTCTTTTGACTATCCGACTTTGCTGCAGTGCAACCGCTACGGGGGATCCTTACACTGAATTGCAGATACAAATCGGAAGCACCACTTGAAAGTTTTTCTTGCCAGCGATTTATTTGATTGCTGGATCCGGTGGCGACAACTTTGGAGCGACAGGTCGACGTTTCATACTTGCACAGCCCGTTGTCACTGGTGTAAGAAAAGGAGCGAGTGAGATCAGGAGTTTTGTTCATTTTTCCACAGTTGCATGTCATTTGAGTTGCAAGAATTTTCATTTGATGCATCAAACGATGCAAGGGTTCTTTGTGTTTTTCTACAAGGGTTCGTGGTGTTCATCAGCCTTAACTCTTTGGGGTTCGTTTGCGTTGGGTAACTAGCAGCCACCAATACCAGAAATAAAAAGCACTGTTTTGATTATCACCACCCTTTCCTGGTACAAGCAAGTCTCTTACTAAATAGATTGCCGTATCTGCTAGACCTGTGCTATCACCGACGGCTGCACCGCACGTGCCTGTGACATCTGACTGCTGTTACGCATAGATTGTGCTGTCTTGCATGTCAATGAGACCACGTGGCAAGGTTTTCTCGTTTGATCTGCGAAGCAATTCTGGCTCGAGTACAAATGGTCAGATCAGTTGTTGACTTTTATACTTCCAGGCATACCCCTCAGTATCCTTCCTATCCCTTACCTAGACGAGGTTTGTGGTTGCAGTCATAAGTGCGAGGCCTCTCTGGCTAAAGACTGTCAGGGTTGCCTCCGCTTCATCTTACGGGGCAAGCATGCGACTCCGTGTGCGCCATGGAATCCTTGGCGAAACAGCCCTGACGATGGACGTCGTTGAACGGACAACTCTCGGATGGGACATTATGAAACAGACGGCGATGGTGCTCAGGTTGGACTCACCCTTCCAAGTGGTCCTCTACGCAGACAGCTCGTCAGTAATCCAATCGCCATTGAGGGCTGTCCAATTCGACACTGCTACAAATGAGGCAGCATTATGCTATATAGTACAGTCATTGCAAGTCCCGTCAGCGCAGCAATATCAAGACCTTATAACTGCCATTGATCACAAAGATGTGATTGATGTAAGCTATCTCCTTGGCAAGGGCGTAGGCCTTATGGACGTGACGACTGAGGGAGGGCATGTCAGCACATTAGTAGCCTCTGCTATCCTTCGAGACCACTCTGCTGATCCGTATGCTTACCAGCCTACTGCTGGCCACTGCTTCCCTCGACATGGGGCCAGTTTAACTTATCTACTGTTACAAGCCCAAGCTGACCCCAATATCATCCCGCCCAAAACGCAACCTACCACTATGTTGGAATTAGCAGTTGAGTTGGGCAGCTCGCAGCTTGTTCAAACTTTGCTTGAGGCTGGTGCCTCGGTGATGCCCGTGAAAGGAGCGCTACCACCCCTCTTCCTTGCTGTCCTCCATCGGCACAGGACAAATGTACAGCTGCTCCTAGATGCACAAGCGGACCCGTGGCAGGAGATTGCGATTGCCTCCGTGCTTTGCCATTCACTGCAATGGTACGGTCACCCTGCCCGTAACGAAGTCTTCAACGCTATACAAGCTGCTGCTGCGCAGAGTGCTGAAGACACGGTCATTGACCTGCTACAGCAATTCTGTAGCGCAACAGACGTGGTGAGACGTGAGCAATCTTCTCTGGCGCGAGTGAAACCCACAGCTTTGACAGATAGGGCCACCACTATCATGAATCAAACTGTGTGGAAATACCAACATATCGTTGAAAAACAGTCTCGACAGATAAACTTCGCTACGGTTCGATGGCGCAGAATACTAGAAGGACTGTATTTACCAGTACGAATACGAAATGAGCTGCAATCGCCCCCAGAGCTCAACCGGGAAGAAACATTCCTGCACCAAGTTGACTAACTGTGTGCTCCAGATGAACACTTTCCCAGTGAGAGGCTGGCACCAGGTAAAGGCTGAACTCTGGCCTGCTTGTGACCCTAGGAAAAATGAAAGAGCAGTACACATTAGTCACATTCTCCATTTCAACCATGATGTCTTTCACTACACAAGTATCGTGTGCTCTGTTACATGCAGCTACCGCTCCATGCGATCCTATCGGCTCAAAGTGCGGCAGTAGACAGACCTGCTGCCTCAGCTTATTTCCAGAAAAGGGAAATATAGAGTGCCTCCTTACCTCGGTGAGGGATCGATATAACAAGCCCTTCCGGTGATTGGGCAAAGGGTATTACTACTGGCTTGTTTTGTCATACAACAGATCACACCTTGCTCTTTCGTGCATTGGGACCTTATTCCACGATAGTACCCCTCATTGCGTTATCTCCTTTCACCTTACTCCCTTCTCTCCTTTCCATTTGGTTTCTGGTTTTTCTGGCCAAAGACGTGCCAGGGCTACCAGCGCCTCTCTCCACCACCCCTCTCTTTCTTTTGCTCTCTCCTCTCCTCTTTTGTTCTTTGGCTCGTCCTTGCGGTCTGCTCCCTCCCTTCACTCTCTTTCTCCTTTTCATTTTCGTGCCTGGATTCTCTGACTAAAGACTGTCAGGGCTTCCAGCCTCTCTTGTCCTTTCCTTCCCCCCTGATTTCACTTTTGCTCCCTCACTGCTCCCTCACTGCCTTGTGCGCCGCCTCTGCTGTGCTGTCGTACCTTAATTTCTTGAGTGTTGGGTTATTTTCGATCCACTTGTCTCCTGTTAAGGTGCTTGAACTGCCTGGCCAAAGACGTGTCAGGTTTTTCAACACTCGCCCCTTCCCCCCCTTGTTTCTTTGTTTTGTGTTGCTTTTGTTTCTGGTTGTTGTTTGTTTTGTCGGTCTTGCTTTGGTTTTCCCTTGTTTGGTTGATTTCGACTTTCGAGACTGACTGGAGTGCTTGAGTCTTCTGACCAAAGACGTGTCAGGATTCTCAACACCTCCCACCCTCCCCCTTAATAACTTTTACACCCAATTCTGCTACACAGGAACTGCACAGTGTGATGTCTCTGCTTTCCAGGGAACAAGTTGTGAAGTCCTGGTACGCGAAGAACCCTAACATCAGCTTCTTTGACTTGCTCTACGCACTTGAACAGCACAAGAGCATTTCTACTGAGTACGGGCTGAATGTATCAATTGAACAGCACTGGCGATTTGGTGACCCCCATAAGAAGACAGCTGAACCTGATCGCCATGACTACGAAATTGCAATGGTCAACGGGAGCGAAACCTTACCTGGACCTGACTGGCACAAGTTGTACCGATGGTTGGTTAGTCAAAGCTCTGCTTTCTTGCCTTACCATACGGTATATTTGGTGACGGACAATCGTGATTTGCAATCGGACGAGGTCAAGTCTGTGCCTGGACTCAGCCATTGGCCAATGGTCGCTGCTTGGTGGAAAGAACGGTTACGCTATGTCGGTCCATATGGGGAACTCACCACAGTTGTCTTTGTCCACATTTCAGATGACACTGGTCTGCATAAAGTACACCCGACAT